CATCTTGAATTACAGAATAAAGGGCTTTGTGCTCTCTTTAAAGAATTTCAGGCTATATGGAATAGTTGGGTCATGTACTATGATGAGGAAGAAGGCTTTTCTGTGACTTGAAATCATACTAGTGGGGCAGTCATCTATTTTGCCTATAGATAAGGCTATCTCTAATCCTAGCCATTGCAGTTCAAAGTCTCAGTTTTACTAATTACCTTTTATGGGTATCGTATAGTCCTGAGGTCATATTTGGCTTTGTGGACATAGTAGAAGCTGAAGACAGGTTCAAGTTGGTGGTAAACAAAGGCAGTGATTCCCTAGGGATCAGTTTCCTGTAGTTATCTGGGGTTCATTTGGGGTGGAAAGTTCACGAAGGCCAGATGCAGCTGCTTCCAAAGTTTATAGAAATCTACAAATTTGCTTTAAAGTCTAAGCAACTCTTGTTACTCCACAGGTGGCAGTGGTAGCTAACCTTTGTATAGTGCTTTAAGATTTGCAAAGCATTTTACATATGGTGCCTCATTTGATCTTTACAGCTGCCCTGGGAGGTAGGTCCTGTTACTATCCCCATTTTATAGATGAGGGAACTGAGGCTGAGAACAGTTAAGTGGCTTGCCCTAGGTCACACAATTAGTAAGTGTATGAGGATGATTGGAACACAGGTCTTTCCAGCTCTAAGTCTAGCACTCTGTCCAGTTTGCCCCCAAGCTGCCTTAGTGGAAGAGCTAGAACCACTAAGATTGGCTATCATTCAATTTGTAGTAATAATAACAGCTCATATTGACTGCAAGCTTAATATTTATGAATCATGAGTGTAATATGGCAGGTGCAAATTCTAATGTGATCTTAGGCTCCTTCAACAGAGGAATAATATCCAGAATACTGGAAGTTATAGCTTCAGCATATTCTCTCTGGTTATCCAACAACTGGAATAGTGAGGCACAGCTAGGTGGCACCATAGTGCATAGAGTGCCAGGCCTGCAGTCAGGAAGACTCATCTTCCTTAGTTCAAATCTGGTCTCAGATACTTATTAGCTGTGTGACCCTGGACAAGTCACTTAACCCTATTTGCCTTAGCTTCCTCATCTGTAAAATGAGCTGGAATAAAAAATGGCAAACCATTCCAGTATCTTTGCCAAGAAAACTCCAAATGGAGTCATGAAGAGTCAAACATGACTGAAAATGACAGAACAACAATAACAGAATATGGAGTGCAGTTCTGAGCACCAACTTTTAGGAAGAATAGGCTAGAGAAAATTCAGAGGAAGGTGACTTGAATCTTGAAGGGCCTTAAGTTTATGCCACTTGAGGATTCATAGAAAGGATCAAGAGTGTCTAGATGCAAGAAAAAAAGACTTAGAGGAGTATCAGAGTTATTCAAAAGTGCAGTAGACTCAGGAGGTAATGGGTTCCTCCTCATCTTAGGTTTTTGAGCAAAGGTTGGGTGAACTTCGTTGGGAGTAATGTAGAGGTCAGATCTGAGTTATCTTCCAACTCTAACAATCTGTAATGTTTTTCAGACTTTAAGATTTGCAAAGTGATTTACAAACTCATTTCATCCTCATGACAACTGTGTAATGGAGGATGCTATTATTAATCCTATTTTATAGATGAGGGAACTGAGGCTGAGAATGATTCAGTGATTTGCCCAACATAGCTAGGAAGGGTGTGAGACAGGATTCGAACTCAAATAATATGACATGTTTCTTTTATAAACATCAGCAGTTATTATTGATGTTATAACATCATCATTGATAGTATTTGTTTTTATCTGAACTTGTAATTTCATTGGTGGATGGAAATCCTGGTGAGGAAATCCTCTCTGTCAATGTGTATCAGCATCTGCTCAGCAATTTATAGCCTTAGAGAATTGCTGTCCACCGTGTTACATTGACTCTCTATTTCTTATTATTATTTCACATCCCCCCCCGCCCCAAGATTTGGAATTAAAGGAAATGGACTTGAATCCCAAGGTTTGCTACTTACTGCCTCCTATGTCATATTTCCGGACCTCAGTTTCTTCATTTGTAAAATGACGTAGTTGGACTAGATGAAATCAAAGATCTCTTCTAGCTCCAAATGGTGGTGTTCTTGTGATTCTTTGATTCTGTGATATGATACTATTTCACATTTGTATTGTTTTACTGTATATAATGTACTTTACTAAAAATGACATTGTTGAAATAGACTTTTCAAGTATTATCTTCATTTTACAGTTGAGAAAATTGACACAGCTTAAATTACCCACCGTGATCACACAGCAAGTTAAGTGGCAATCAGAAATGGAACACAGGGGTTGTGATCCCAAGTGTTGTATTTTCTTAAACTACTGTATTATGATGGTATAAATAACTATATATTCAGTATATTTAATAACATTGATTACAATTTCGTATAGTATTCCATATCATCTCTAGTTACATTTGTTCAGTGGGCCCAAACATAACTCCCACAAATAGGATTCTGTTTTGTCCCAGACAGCAAGACCTGAATGCGTATATCATAGCCATCAGGTCAAAGGGCCACAAAGTACATAAAACATTGCATGTCCCTTGTACCTCTGACGTACTGCACGCTGGCACCAATATTTATATCCTTTTCCAAGGAGTTTTATCTTAAACGATGTCAGGGTAGCCTGGGATTTCACAATAAAGCCAATTTCCAGTACAAGAGCAGATGCTGTTCTCCATTCTACTGACTGGAACGTGAATCCTAAAAGCTAAGTAACCAGCAAAAGGCCTTGAATGGAGTCAACTGACAAAGCCAGGATTAGAACTTGGGAATTCCCTGTTCTTAGACTCAAAGTCCACCAGAAAACAGCCAATTCCCAGTCTTCTTTTACACTCACCACAGCTAAGTTAAAGATCACCAAGAGCAAATAAAAGTTTATTCTCTGAACTTGCATCTCCCTTACCTAGTTTAATTCTTCTTTTGTGGCCAAGAATTGTTTGATCAGGATTATGACAGTCAAATCAAAGGGTTTAATAAGCTAGGGATAACAACCTGCTACTTTTCCACACAACCAACAATCTCTTAAGTAGTTTTGGAGATCTGTGAGAATCTGATTGTACTTTTGACACAGTTTTTAATAGTATTCCACAGCTTAACTATATCCATGTACTGGCTGGTGTTACAGAAGTTCCTGAGTCATGCAGGTCTGTTACTGATACACAGGCAGAAATCTCATTTATGTCTACATGAATCCTGTGTGTCCCAAGTATGTTACTGCTTTGGAAGCTCAACCGGGAATTAAGAATAAAGAAAGCAAAGACAATAATAGATACGGTGCCCACTGCAATGTAAACAACAACTAACAAAAGACAACAAAACTCAAGTCAAATACAGCTTATAATACAGGTGTTGTTGTTCATTTGTTTTCAGTTATGTCCAACTCTTCATGACCCCATTTGGAGTTTTCTTTGCAAAGATACTGGAGTGGTTTGCCATTTCCTTCTCCAGCGCATTTTACAGATGAGGAAACTGGGGGAAATAGGGTTAAGTGACTTGCCCTGGGTCACACAGCTAGTAAGTGTCTGAGGCCAGATTTGAACTCAGGAAAATGAGCCATCCTGACTCCAGGGTTGACACTCAATCCACTGCATCCCCTAGCTGCCCTATAATACTGGTTCTGAGCTACTAAAGAGAAAGAACACACCCTTCCTTTATTTTATGTATTTATTTATTTATTTTGGTGAGGCAATTGGGATTAAGTGACTTGCCTAGAGTCACATAGCTAGTGAGTGTTATGTGTCTGAAGCTGAATTTGAACTCAGGTCCTCCTGACTCCAGGGCTGGTACTCTATCTACTGTGCCACCTAAGTGCCCCTCCCCCCTTTATTTTAACAATCAGGAAACCATAAGAGTAGAAGGCCATGTGTACTATGAGACCCAATAACTACTGGACAGAGTTGGGAACAGAAATGTTTTCCCTCACCTTTGCTTCTTTGAATCTCTAGCTTCTTTCAGGTAACACCTCTTACAGGAAGCCTGTCCTGATTCCCCCAGCTGTTAGTGTTTTTTTCCTCCAGAAAACAGTCTATAAGGTTTATATAAATGGTGTTTCTCTCTGGGAGAAGGCAAATTTCTTGAGGCCAGGGATTGTTTCATTTTTGCCTTTGTATCTCCAGCAACTAGCATTGTATCTTACATATAGTGGGGACTTAATAAATGTTTGTTGGATTTAACTGTTTGGGGGAAATTTACTTTGTGGTAAGGTTTGTCTTGGAAGTATCTGTTGTATTCAAACAAATGTATTAATTATAAAAATTTGTCTCAAGGAGGTTGTGACATTGGTAGGTCCCAATTCTGGAAAGCCAGTTTTGGAGATCCAATTTTGGTTCATAGGTTTAGAACCAGAAGGAAATTTAGAGGTCACTGAGTCTAACTGGTTCACTTCAAAGGACACTGAGGCCCAGAGTAGTTAAATCCCCAGGGTCACAAAGCTTATTAGTAGCTAAAGCAAGATTTGAACAGCAGGTCTTCCTGACTCCCAAGTCCAATGCCAATTCATGAAAAAGTCAACAAGGAAAACCACAGGCATGATCTTTGTGTCCAAGGGCTGTAGCAACACAGCAGTCTTCTGGATATGTAATAGTTGCATATATTTTCACATTTAACAGTTTGTAAGTTGCAAAGGCACACTTATACAAACATTAGTTTTCTTCCTTGGAGTTTCCATTCTTTCTGATTCTTACACATCACCCCCATTTTCTTTCTTTTCTTTCTTTTCTTTTCTTTTCTTTTCTTTTCTTTTCTTTTCTTTTCTTTTCTTTTCTTTTCTTTTCTTTTCTTTTCTTTTTTTCCTTCTTAAATAAAACGTTTATTCGCTCTAGGATCAGGGTGGGTGCTCAGTCAAAGAGACCAAAGCCCATGTCATCATCAGATTCCTCAGACTCCTCTTTCTTCTTTTCCTACCCCCATTTTCTAAGTGATGAAACATGTATTGCTATAATGTAGCAACAGGAAATTTCTTCCTAATAACGGCTATAAAATATTATAATATGTATACATAGTTTCAACTTTTTTTTTATTAGTTCTAAAACCTGAAAATATCACATTTGGCTTTAACCAGGTAAGGTGATATCATTTCATGACAGCACACTGAAAACCAGAATTTACTGTACATTCAGAAGCTACTCAATGATATCCAGACGTTCTGTATAATGCTAAGCAGATCTCACAGTGAAGAAAAGAGCATGGGAGATCTCAGCCTTATGAAAGGCAGCATCCAGAAGCTTGTCATGATAAGGCTGTGGAACCAGGGTTGCATTAACATCTTCTAAGCCTCATCTGTGGGTGCAGCTGTTCCTGTCTTCATTTAATATATGAGAAACACCTCCTCCCCTTTCTTACTGAGCCTTCTGGAAAACAAAAACACAACTAATAAAATTCACAATCTGGTGGGAGGAAGATCAACTCTCTTCTGGATGTTAGTGATTGCTTCAGTTATGGAGGACATATTTTTTTCTCCTCCATGAATGTCAAGAGACTTTCTTTAGTGTCAGCCTACAACATGTTGAGTTAGCTCAAATGTCTGGAATCTGATATTTCTTTTAGTTAATTCACCCAGAAATCAATTAAATGAAAAAACAAGAAAATGCCAAAGCTCCATTAGAGCTAGTTCTATACCTTGAAATGCCATGTCTCAGGCTAACATCTTCATGACTGGTTTTTTTTCTTAGAATTGCATTAATAGAAATCAATGTAGCTTAATCAGCATTTGTTAAGACCTTACAGTAAGATCATAAAATAAAATACATGATTTGTTACAGTGTAAGCCAAGCACATGAAATTTATATTATAAGGAAATAAGGGAATTTAAAAATAATATTTTCTTAACTAATTTTCTTTGTTCAGTCTAAAAATAGTAATTCTGCCATTTGGGGAACACACAAATCAAAGGAAAATTATGGATTGGAACAAATGTCTAATAAAAAAATGAAGTCATAAAAGAACATATTACAGTTAATACTACTGAGACAAAGCAACAGCCCTTGGTAGAGAAAACAAGTAGAGGAGGATAACTCAGTGACTATGCTTAGCCAGCTAAATGAATTAAGATCAATCCTGTCTCCATGAGATCACTGTTTCTTCCTGTCAGACCCTCAGGAGAAATCAAAGTAAGAGATATAAGGTAACTTTAAAAGTCTAAATAAAAGTCTAAATAAAAAAATCGAGCTATAAAAGACATTCTTCTAAAAGAAAAAAAAGTTCTGCTTAACAGAATTATTAAAGGATTTTAAATGTACTTAAGTGTGCTGAATAATTCCAATGACATACTCTGAAGGAATGATTTTTAAAACTCCTTAGGAATCATGATAACCCCAATTCTTGTCCATATAGATCATATTCTTTAAACAAGATATATTCTCTTAAGGTAGTTGGTAGAGGAAGCTTCTCTATAAATTCTGTTTTGCACAGTCTCTTTAATCCCACAAGTCTTCGAATTTGTAGTCGACACAAATGCTTTAATGAGCAGGGGTTCTCTAAAAAAAGAAAAAAAGGGGGGGGTATTATCAAACAGACCATGATGAGACTTTCTGTTGCAGAATAATGTGGATATGCATATTAGGAACAAACATATTTATTATGAAAATCACAATTCTTCTTCATCTTGAAGTATTATGACAGATTGCTAAAGGAAGAATATGTTCAAAATGTTTACTGTGGTTTTCTATTCATTTTTTAGGCCCTATTAGAGAATGATATTTGTACATTTCTTCCTGTGGTCTTTGTCCTAACTGTTTCCTGAATATACAGCTACCTTCTGCCTCAAGTTTATCATATACCTTTGAAGCCATTACACCCATGTGTCATTTCAAGTATAGGATCAGTTTCAAATTTATGCCTCTGTTATATTTATACCACAGTAGCATTTTCAATTTCTTCTAAAAATTTAATATCAACCTACTTTGGTTAAGCACCAGATGGCAACATATTTTTACCATTTTGACTTTCTCTATTTTTATAAAGGCAGCACAGCCAGTGGATAGAGGATTGGCATCAGAGTCAAGAACACTTGGGCTCAAGTCCTATTTCTGACCCAAAGTGGTTGTATGACCCTGGGTTAGATATTTTACCACTCAGTGACCTCTCTGAGACTTTAAGTTGTGGAACAGAAGCAGGGAGAGAACACTGGTCCTGGAGTCAGAGGTCTATGACTTCAGATAGGTACTAGGTGTGTGATCCTGGACAAGTCACTTAACTTCTGTTTGCCTCAGTTTCCTCATCTGTAAAATGAGGATAATAATAGCACCTACCTTCCAAGGTTGTTGTGAGGATCAGATGAAGTAATAACTATAAAGCACTTAGTAAAAGACTTGGTACATAATAAGTGTTATGTAAATGGTGGCTATCATTATTATTAGATTTGTTTTGGTAAGAAAGAGTTTCCATTCTAAGAGTTTCTTATGACATCTAAATCTCAGGCCTAGAGCCTCCAAAATATATTTATTACAAGAAGTGTAATCATATTAGCATGTCATTCTGGACAATTGGTGATCTTATCCCAAAGTGATTTAACTAATCACCTTTGTAAATGTCCTGCTAACAGTCAAACATATGCATTTTATTGAAACACTGTTTCCCAATGGTTTGAATATAGAATGCTGATAACCATGCTGAATACAATCATTACCTCTACTTTTAGCATACTGTAATTTTACTTTACTCCTTAATAAACCCATTCTGTTATGTTTAAATAGAACAACACTGACATCCAGTGGCCAGGTACACTCATTGTAATTGACTAGTCTGTACAAGTTGTTGAAGTAATGCTTCAGTATTCAATCTGAGTGTGAAGCCACCCTACACTGAGGCAAATTGCAATGCCCTTGTACTTCAGCAAATGCTTTTTATGAGCTGCAAAAGTCATTGGCTTGGCTGTTAACCTTCTGGTGATAAACCTCTCTCTGAATTTACCAACTAAGTTAGTCCTTAGACAAGTAATTATATAATCTGAGGCTAGGCCTGTAACTAGGAGACTCTAGTTCTCTTCAGCCTGCCAGAGCTTATGCTCCAATGGTACATACCTTTCAGGAATCTAGTGTTATCTCCAAGCCTTGCTTAGGCAGTGGAGTAGGTCTTTTGTGGAGGTGCTGAAGAAGTACTTAAATCCTCTAAGGATCCATGATTCTATTGGCTTGAAAACTCTCTTGAATGATGGATGTCACAATCCCTATACTCACTAGTAGATGTCTGAGTTGGTGTGTGACCCAAAAAAGAAAAAAGATCATCATATGATAACCAAGTCTCTGGTGATGAGGCTTAGTTTCTGACCTGAGCTGGGTTGGTCCTCAGAAAACAAACATACAATCATTTCACCTATAGTTTGACCTGTACGTGCTTTATAATCTCAGTAGGTTCTGCCAGAACTCAAGTCTCATTGACATAATCTCTGAGAACTAAGGGGTTTACTCCATGTTGTGATGAGGCAGAAGAGTAGGATTTTTGTAGAGGTGTTGAAGACCTAAATCTATAAAAATGATTGGGCTTGATGCTGGGGAAAATTTGCTAAGCTTTATACTTCTTAACAAAAGTAGGATGGGCTAACTCAAAGAGTTAGACTTCCTTGGAAGTCTTCAAGCTGAAGTGAGTAAACACTTGTCAGATATAGTGGGTATTCCTTTTGACTACAGGTTGGAGTAGCTGGTTACTGAGGTTCCTCCCAACTCAAATTCTGAGATTCTATAATCTTATTTTAAACCGACAGCCTATTGGTCTGACACATTGGCCTTATAAATTATGCTAAAATCATGCATTAATCTTTTGTAGTGAATGCATACACATCATTTAATTAAAATGTAAGAGTAATATCAGAACATTTGCCTTTTCAGTTCTTGAAACTCTGCTTTTAGTTATAAAAACTCCTCTAATTCTGCCTTCTCAGCTCAAAAGAAGGAATCAGTTGATTGTGGACTCAATTGACCAAGAATTCAAACTCACAGAACTATACTAGGAAAGAATACTATACTAGACCTGGGTTATAGTCCCAATTCTTCACTTACTATGTGTCCTTGGGCAAATCACTTATCCTTTTTAAACCTTTCATCATCTGATGACCTGCCTACCTCACAAGGTTATTGTAAAGGTCAAATGAGATCATGTATGTTCAATAAATGCTCCCAACCCCCATTCCCACTGACAGGTTAAGGCCCCGGAGCTTGAGTGCTACTTGTCTCCTTAGAGAGTCTTAGATCTGCCTTTCCTCGATTCATCCAGCCTCCCTTTTGCTCCTGATGCAGACAATGTCCTCGGCAGTCTTGAGGACACTCCTAGTATGCTGATCTCCTTAATTCCTCTCAGGGCTCTATTCGTGATTCTCTGGATTTTTTTCTACCATACCACAGCAGCCCTTTTATTCTGGAAGATGTTAGGCCCCTGCAGCCCATTCCTCTGATTGGCTAGTTAGTCTCAGAGCCTCCATTTTAAGGAAGGTATCCAGGTCAGCTATGTTCATTCCCTTATTCCTCTCCTGGTTCTGTGCCTGATTCTCTGGATTTTGTCTCACTCCTGCCTCTCTTCAGTTTCCTTTTATATGCTGTCTTCCCCCATTAGAATGGGGGTCATTAGAATGACCTTCAGGTCAAGAACTGTCCTTCCTTTCACTCATATTTGTGTTCCCAGTGATTAGCACAGTGCCTGGTGCATAGTTAATGCTTAATAAATGCTTGTTGATTTATCTTCCTCTGGCCAAGGGGAAGTGGGGAGACTGAGGCAGACGCCAGGACCCTTCTTGCCCCCAAATGATTCTACTCAGAGACTTGGCTGGAGGACTTCCACCTTAAGCTTCTAGAAGCTTGAATTTCTAGGTTCTGAACTATTTTGCTGTTTTATAGTCAATCCACTGAGAATAATAATGGTAATAAAAACAATAATAATAAACTGAGTTTCCTCAACCAATCTGAATATACTTGCAGTACAATATCATTCCAGTTAAGGACATCTAAATCAATTAAGACTTTTTCTACCCTTAGTCTAAACTTTATGATTGACTGATTCAAATAAAAAATTTTTTTAACCTAGTTAAGGCACCAGGGCATAGCATCTTGTCATTCTAAGTAGAGTGCGGTAAAGGATAGGTTGACTCAATCCACCCTCACTTTTCCATATGAGAAAGTTCTGTGTTGCACTGGGTGCTTTAAATTTAAAGATATTTCTCTTTAGCTGGTTTGTGATCTTTTCGAACTGGTCAGAAACATACAGCCTCTCCACTCACTTAAATTCATTGCTACTACAATGCATAGATTTGCAAATTCAATTTTAATTAGTGTAATAGGCTCTGTGACTACAACAAAAACTTTAACACCCCCCATATTTTTGCTACCAGTTTGGATGCCCGTTTGGATTCAGCTCAGGACTCTGATTTTCATTTTCAGGTTCCTAAATGGTTAGGACGTGGCCTTTTAGGAATGGGATCATATTTTATTACTTTAGCTCAAAAAGCAGAGCAGCTGTGTGATGCATGATAGATTGTTTCATCTCTGAGAACAATCTATTCCTGTTATGAAATCCAAGGAATAAGTATTATTAACTTACTATGTTATTATGATTATTTTATTTATATATTATATTACTATATATTATTAACTTATTACAACAAGGAATAGTTATTATTAAACTAAAAAGTCTCAGATTAAAAAAAAACTTCAATATTTCAACAGATCTGTGATTTCATTAGCCTGAGCATTCCTTCCACTGGAGCAGATTGTGACCCATTCATGCTCTCTCGTCTGATGTGATTCTTGTCCACATCTTTCCATAAATTCTCCAAAGAGGAGTCTGCTCATTGAGTTGATGGGTACCATCTGGTTCTTTTGTTATTTTGTGAATATGTGAATGCAACATGTGAGCTGCCAGTGTATTAGTGCTGACTCTTGCTACATGGCTACTTCTTTTTTGGTCAGTCCACATCCTTAATATTTTTCCTACCACTTCCTGCATGCAGGTTATTACTGGCATTGTGATTCAACTTGCTTTCCTGAACCATGAATCTTTCCATTGTCCATTTTTAAAATATCAAGTTTCAAAAATCTAAAGATATTTTCTTAAATTCCATTTAACTAATGTACAAGCAGGCTTCTCAATGTCATTTTTCACATCAAATTATTGTTTACTGTGAAGCATCACACACTGGGGGAATTTTTTCTTTTATTCCTCCTGTTGCTCTCCTATACCTAAAGCTGTATCTTTTGTGGAGAGGTTTTCAATATACTTTACTATCACAGTGCTACCTTATATGCTAGTTTTCATCTTATAATCTTAAAAGTTTTTTTTAACATATTCATTTTTTATTTATTCAAAGATAAGGAAGAATCTTAATAAATAAAGCAGTGACAGATAGAGGACAGACAACCTTACTGTATATATTATAGACTCATAGGCTCTAGACCTTAGAGAATATATATAGTCCAAATTTATTTCATCTTTTAGATGAGGAAACCAAAGTCAAGAGAGGTCAGATTACTTGCCTGATGTCACAATATTTGCTATTGACAGAGCCAAGACTAGAAGCCAAGCCTCTTGAGTCTCAGGGTCATAGCTTTAAAGAAACCATTAATTTATGGCCTTACAGGGAAGTTCTCAATTATGTATATTAGACAGTTAGAAAAATATCAGAGAAACTTCTTATATCAAGAGAGATGTTAAAACCAATAGAAGAGCACAGGAACATGATTCAAGATGGATAAAAAAGCAAAGCTTAAAAAATGAGCTCTCAAGGGAAGCATGAAGAAGCTGTGATACTAAGTTCAGATTGAGTTAAAACACATAAAATCTTTACTTAATCACAAATTTTTATTTTTACCTAATATTTGGCGAATTTCTGGCCATTCTCTCTGTACTTCTAGCATAGACTTCAGTTTATCACATAGAGGAACGTAATCCATATAATCTATTAAAATACGCATAACACGACCCACCAAATGCTTCATCCAAGGAACTGTAATAAACTCACAGAACTGAAAGAATTTTAAAAAGACAGATTAATATTTTAAAGCACCATGTATATGAATATATGTATATGTGTGTGTGTATATATATATATATCTATATCTCATAGCAACTTATTTATAATTTATTATAAAATATTCTCCCCCTGCTTTGCAGAAAACAAGGGTTCCAAGAAATGGTTTCTTTCATCCTTTGAGTATAGCTATAGAATCTTCCTTAGGATAAAATCAAAGTAACTGGAAAATATTTTCTTATTTTCCTGAAACTGTCATCCCAGAGAAATATGACTGAGTCTGAAATGATCATGTTCAGTAATAACCAGTAGAAAATTGCTTGTTTCTACCTTTTTTTTTTTGAAGCTAGGCAGTGAGGTTAAGTGACTTGCCCAGGGTCACACAGCTAGTAAGTGTTATGTGTCTGAGGGCACATTTGAACTCAGGTCCTCCTGACTCCAGGGCTAGTGCTCTATCCACTGAGCCACCTAGCTGCCCTGTTTCTACCTTTTGTCAATGTTTTATCCAGTAATCTGAACCTTATATTTTCAGATATTTTCCAATTCTTCTGCACCCAGCTTGACCCAACTCTAATTCAAAGTGTAAATTGGAACTCTATATCATCTATTTTATGTATTATAGTTTTTTGATAGGAGTATTCAAGTAATGGAAACACCATCAGAGGTACTGTTTTCTTGATGTTTGTGTGTGTACACATGCACGTGCATATGCAAGCTCTCCATATGCAACATTGTAAAGTTGATAAGTAAGGGAAGATTATAGCAAAACTTAAAGAAAAAAGAGAAGCAACTTACCGGGTTATCTTTTATTACACAAGAAGTCCATCCTGGGAGAACATCTTCTTCAATCTCAGACCACACAAAGGAATTTCCAAAGATATCCCCATGCATGCAATCAAAGCACATCTCTACTTGATAGCCATTATTCAGCAACAGTCTAAGCATTACCTCATCATTCAAAGCGTATTGAATGGCACTGGGGAACCTGGTGTCATTCACACACATGAAGTAACAATTGACATTTGCTCCATGAGAAAGAAGCAATCTGACAATTTCATGATTTCCAGCTCTCACTGCCACAAGCAAACAGTTTAGGGGATCTTGGTTTGGGTCTGCACCTGCAGCCAACAGAACTTCTGTACAGAGGATGTCATTATTGGAAACAGCAAAATACAGTGCAGTCTTCCTTCCATCATCATAGTTCTCAGAAATGTGATCAGCCAGGGGAGTATTGACATCAAAATCATTTTCAATGAGTAATTCCAGACACTGCACATTTTGGCCTTCAGCTGCTGAATGAATGGGGGTTAACCCACTTTTGTGTATTGCATTTTTGGATGTTACTGGGATGAGGTATTTCAGAGCCCTGGAAAAAGAGTGTCAAATATTCATGCTACATAGATGAAAAAAAAACCTTTCTCATGAAATCTTATTTTTCCTTGTAAACATGTTTTGATACAAAACATTTTAATCATATGTATAGTCTTCCTAATAATTTTTAGCTTTTTACCTTCCTGTTCTTTATTTTTCGTTCTGATTCTTGTTTCCTTAGAGGCTCTTCAAAGTTTCTCTGAATAATTAGCACTTATTTTATATAAAGGAAATAGCATAGTACAGGCTTTGAGACAGTGGCCTTTGAAGACTTGGCTTATGTCTTGCCTTTTACACAAGTTGGCTGTGTGACCATGAACAAGTCACTTAACCTCACTATAGCTCAGTAAACTCTTTAAGATTATAAATTATAGAGATTTGCTGACGTGCATGGATAGAGAAAGTTTTCACTTGAAGAAATTCTCCAACCCAAAGAAGATACAGGTCTGGACCCCTATCAAAATTACTATATTTTGAACGGTTTTATGCATATAAGCAATTAAGAAGTCCTTTAAGATTATAAAAAGGAAGGTCAGGTTTAGTTACCGAATAACACCCTTGAATATTTTACTTTGTTACATAAACAAGATGAGAAATCTCTGTAAAATAATATAATGGATATACATTCCCTATCTGTGTTTATGGGTTTTGGCCAAAAAGAGAAGACATTACTATTTTACTGAAATGTCAATCAAATCAAACATGATCACTAATCACAGTTTCTAGAGGAATTGACAAATGGTTGTGAACTTTTCACACATGACTGCTCTGCTAGATCATGTATGAATGATATAATTAGAGATAATTTGATTTCTTATGGCATCAAATTCAGAGCTATCATGTGTGAATTTATGGATACTGGGATTAAATCCAAGTAAAACAAACAGTATCTCATTTAATCTCATTTATGTAGCAGTGTGAATTTAACTCTCAAATCTCAACAAGGTGTGGACATGTCCCTGGGGTCTTGAAGGCTTTGTCAGCAGAGCATAAACTCTGGCAGGCCCTACCAAGGTAGAAAGGTTTCAAGTATGAGCTCAATGATGGACTATATGCCAGTTGCCCTCTGATCAGCCTAGCTAACTGGAGAAGCCATCACCTAGCTAGGATGATAAATTTTTCAGCTATAGTAACTTAGAAAAACTCTCCTAAGGCATGGAGGACTTATGATCTGTTTTAATAGAGACAGTTTCCACACTAATAAAATGAGCATTTCTTTGAAGTTCTGAAGTATAATGTGACTGTTGAGCAATCTATAGCCAAGTGCCTTTGCTAACTTGGCTTTTGAGCCTTTGAGAAGTATTCAACAGCCATCACATGGCTGGTTACTATTGGTAGTACTAGTTTTGTACTGCTTGCTATAGAGGTTAATGACACATTAATAAAATCCCTCCAACTATTTGTACAGACTATGGATAATTAAGTCTATAAAAATGGAACATTTCAATCTAACCTTATCTATTACCTGTTCTAATGTGGATTGGCCAATATGCTATAAAAAAAATTATCACTTTGAAAAATCAATAGAAGGCATTGTGGTGAGGCTTGGTATAGTGGAGTTAAAGGACATGGGTCCAACCTTTTTCTAGATCTATGATGATCTTTTGTAGTGAAGTCATCTTTAAAGTTTAAACTTTGAGCTTACGAGCAAAAATTTCAGAAAAGGCACTGTTAGCTTTTCACTAATTATGGGATAATTAAGGATCTTGAGAAAAGAACCAACCCAACTTCTGATTGGGTCCTCTGGGCCTTACTTACAAGTAATGTCCTTCATAAGCAGCTCGATGAATAGGGAGGTGTCCTGATCTATTAGGAACATTACCACTTCCTCCATATTCCAACAAAAGAGAAATACAGTCAGGATTACCCCCTCCTGCTGCCTCAAACAGCACAGATGCCCCATCATCCGCCAAAGCGAAAACATCACCACCTAGGATGAGATGTTTGTCATCAGGATGTCTGTATAAACTGGTGAAATTCTTCTCCCCTTAAAAAAAATTGCCTATCTTTATTTTTCCTTGTTTAGTAGATGTTAACCTTAAAACAATAACCACCTTATAGACACTAATGTGTAGTAGTGTAACATATATCTTAAAGAGGTGATACAACTATGATGCTGGAAGTAACCTTAGAAGTCAGCTTGTTAATTCTACTACCACTCTTTCAGAATTGTACTGAAATACACCAGAGTATGCCAATATTTTAACAGATCTATCTTCTCAATATGGATTTTCCTTCCAATGATGTAGACTGCAACCTGTCCATGTCTAACTATTCATTATGACTCTCATCCATGTCCTCCCATGTGTTTGCCAGAAAGGGTCCACAATACCTCATAATAATTAGTGGTAAACCTCAATTTCATTCATTCATTTATCTAGTAATAACTTCTATTTATAAGGCACTGTTAGGCACTGATAACAGATAACTTTTACTAGTCCAGTTTCTTTCCTTGTACCTTTATGGATGAGGTGTTCTAACACGTCACAGTGACCGTACTCAGCAGCAACACCCAGAGGTGTAATTCCAAATCCATCACGCAGGTGCACATTTCCTCCATTCTTTAGGAGCAGAGCAATAATATCCTTGCGGCCCTGTTTGGCTGCTTCATGCATCGCTGACCATCTTTTGATACACGGTAGGTCGAGGTTAGTGTTATGTTTAATCAGAACGGACACTATGTCATAGGAACCCTTTCTAATAGCTTGAAAACATAAAAAGAATTCAGATAAAATTTAACCGATCAGTAATATATTTACCCTTCTATTTTTGTATACTGAAAGCTACAATCAGAAGAAGACTGGATGATCCCCTGATGGGGAAGTTTTAGTTTTAGAAGGGATTATCCATCAGATTTGAAATAGTCTCCATGGCCTCTAAGGTCCCTTACAGCTCTTAGATTCTGTGAGCAACCACTCGAGGTTGTTGTTATGCTTTTACTTCAAAGCCTCAAGGAGGAATAAGCTTTTCATAGGACATGTCAGTGCAGCCCTGCGACTTTAGGACTCACTAAGATTTCCACATGAACATATTCTTTCCCTCCTTGGACTTGTGCTAAGATTTTATGGTTTTGCTTTGCAAAACAAAATATATTCTGAATAAAATCACCACATATTGGGTAAGATTATAAGGTTAGACTTTAATAAACATTCTAGAACTTTAAAAATCCCAGTAACTATTGCTACAATGGAGACACCTTGGGAGAAAATTTGTTGTTTAGTTGTTTTCAGTTGTGTCCGACTCTTCATGACCCCATTTGAGGTTTTCTTGGGCAGAGATTCTGAAGTGGTTTGTCATTTCCTTCTCAAGTTTATTTTATAGATTAAGAAACTTGGGGGAAACAGGGTTAAGTGACTTGCCCAGGGTCCTACAGCTTGGAAGTGTCTGAGGCCAGATTTGAACCTAGGAAGATGAGTCTTCCTGACTCCAGGCCCAGCACTCTATCCACTGTGCCATCTAGCTGCCCCCTTGGGAGAAAATCAATTTATCCTAATGCTGTTGCCTTTGCTCAAACACTTTAGGATCTCCTCTTATGGAACTGCCTTCAGAAACTGTGTCAACAGTTAAAGCACTTGCTAGGGGGACCCCAGGAACTGGCCAATGAGAAAGAAACATACATGAAGAACATATATGTGTGTGTATGTGTATGCATATACATATATATATATATATATATACATACATATATATATATATATATATATACACACACATACCTACACATATATGTATGTATCTGGTATACACATATATTAGACAAGAAAAGTGCTCTTTCTTAGCACTTCTGAAAAATCATACCCTAAGAGAGAGAAACAACCTGCAGGTTGTGTAACAGCTTTAGCTACAGCAGTTTGTGATTTGAGACTAATCACTACAGTCCTACAGAGAAAGAACACAGAATGCCTCATGTGAGTGCTATAGAGTAAAGGTGGGGACTGGCCTATGTTTTAACATATGAACTCATTTCACGATGGCATTAGGGTTTCCAGGTCCTTAATCCTAGAGTGTGACTTCTATTACTTTCCAAGGCTTAAAATGGTGAAGTTTTCATTCCAGGGAATGAGCGTTATGTTTGTAGTCTTGTTGCTCCCAGTCCCTGTTCACCCTAATCCATCCTTCAGATAACCCTCAAACCCATCTTTCTAATGCACAGGTCTGATCACGTCACCCTTCCTGCTCAAAGACTCTTTATGTTGTCTGTATCTTGTTTGTATATACTTGTTTGCATGTTGTCTCCCCCATTAGACCACTAGTTCCATGAGAGTAGGGACTGTCTTTTGCCTTTCTCATATCCCCAGCACTTGGCACAGTGCCTGCAAGTAGTAGGCACTTAATAAGGGTTTACTGATTGACTACTGCTATAAGATACATTATAAACTCCTTAGCATGGTATTTAAGACCCTCTGCAATTACCTTTCCAGCCAAGTTTTATACTTCATTCATTCTGCATTCCAACCAAACTGGACCACTAGATGTTATCCAACCTTGTCCTGACCCTTTCTGCCTCTGTACTTTTTAAACAGATCATGTCCAATGTCTAGAACACTTTGTTTCTTTCTTTATCTGTACCAGTTGAAATCTTTCTTCAAAGAAACTAGCAATACCTCCTCTGAAATTTTCCCTGATCTTTCAACCTAACATGATTTCTCCCTTCTCAGATTTTCTTATGATACATTCTCTGGATCTCTTCTCTGCCCTTATATTATATCATATTTAAGAACACATTTTATCCCTCCGCATTTGATTACAACCTCCATCAAGAGAAGGACTGTGCCATTTTTCATCCTTGTTTCCCATTGCCTAACAGTACTGTGTGTGTGTGTACATGCAATTTATTATGTACTTTTTTGCATATATATATATTTTGCACAAATATATGTAATTTACATATGCCTTTTTAAAAGCAAGTGGTATGAAAGGAGATTTACAGTTTCAGATAGAATATTCTTGTTGTCTTCTTCTGTGTGTATGGAAATGCTTTTCTTTGGTGTTTAAGTTCAGAATAAAATAATTTAAGAATACTTGAGGAAAGAAAGAATAGTTTCAGCAGGGAAGATCGGGGAAGGTTACATGAAGGAACTATCTATCACCTAAGTTGTATCTTAAAGACAGATAGAGAGTCAGGAAAGAGATACAGAAGGAATATATTTCACAAAAGCAGGTAAGATAGTATCATATGGGGTTAGTGACACAATGAGTTCGGGGAAGAGCTAATTATCTAGTGTGGTTGGAACATAGTATTATGTGAGGGGGCATAATGTGAAATAAGATTAATAAAAGTAGGCTAGAGTCAGATTTTGGCCAAGGTAATGCATTTCTGTTTTATCTTGGAGGCAACAGGAAGCCTCTGAAAGTTTATGATCGGGATACTGACAGGGTCAGATTTGTATTTTGGAGTGATTACTTTGGCAGCTGTGTGAAAAGATGGATTGTAGAAAGGGTGGAAACTACAATTATGGAGACCATTTGGGAGCCTATTACAATAATCTAGATAAGTGATGATAAAGATCTGAGTGAAGAAAGTTATAGTGAGAGATGTGGAGTTAAAATTGACAGGACTTGGTAACTGATTGGATATATGGGGGAAAGGAGAGAGAAGAATTGAAAAATTAGGTCATGAAGCTGGGTGATGGAAAGAGTGGTGGTGCCAACAAGAGAAAGAGGAGAACTTGCAGGAAGGACAGGTTTAACTGGGAAGATGAAGACTTCCAAGACTGTTACGTTTAAAGTTCCATCAGCACACTCAGGTGGAGATATCCAATAGGCAGTTGAAGCTATGGGACTAAAGTTAGGAAGGAGAGTAAGACTAGATTTATAGGTTGGGGAGTCATCTGTGTAGAGGTGATAGTGGAACCCATGGGAGGGAACAGATAAGATCACCATGAGAAAAGAGTTAAGGACCTAGCCTTGAGAGACTGTCATGTTAGGGGGTGGAAAGTGGGTGAAAAACAAGCAAATACTGGAAAGGAGTTTTGGCAGGGTAGAGGGGAAGAGAAGGTGGGAGAATAGAGAGAGAGCAGTGTTATGGAAACCAAAGGAAGAGACAATGCCCAACAAGAACGGATGTTCAGTGGTGCCAAAAGAGTGGTTAAGGAGGATACAAACTGAGAAAAGATCATTGGATTTAGTCATTAAGAGATCACTAATAATTCTATTTGTTTACTTATTTTTTTGGTGAGGCAGTGGCGTTAAATGACTTGCCCAGGGTCACAGAGCTAGTGAGTGTCAAGTGTCTGAGGTCACATTTGAACTCAGGTCCTCCTGCCTCCAGGGCCGGTGTTCTATCCACTGCACCACCTAGTTACCCCACCAATAATTTTTAAGGAAGTAATTTTGGTAGAGTGTTGGGATTGAAAGATTGATTGTAAGACCCTGATGATGAGTGTTTGGTGAGGAAGTTGAGGTAGTGAGAGTATACAACTCTTTCTGAGAACTTAGTAGTGAAAGAGAGAGAAGAGATAGGTTGATGATAGTTAAAAGGGGGGAGATGTCAGGGTCAAATGAAGTTTTTTTGAGGGTAGGAGAGTTTTGGTATGTTTTAGGTATTAATGAAGAAACAAGAAGATAAGGAAATATTGCAGATGAGAAGAGGAATTATCAATAGGGCAAGCTCCCAGAGCTTGTAATAAATATCAAGGAAAGAATTTCAATTCCAGCTCTTCTTTAAATCAGGCACTCTCTCTATGATGTCACACTAATTTCCATGTATAGTATGATGAAGGACTGACCACTGAGCCCTTAAGACTCTACCCAGAGTCCCTTTGATGCAATACCCAACTTGTGAGAGCTTGGATAGCTGTTTGCTGCATGATCATGATGCCGTATAATGAAGTGCTTTGGAGGGACTTTGGAAGCACGAGTAAACATGTTGTAACTAGTTCTAATATGCTAATCACTGGTGAGGAGGAGCCATTGCCCTTGGCCAGAGGATCCATTCACACTATTCAGGCTCTTCCCTCTCTCTTGGTTTGACTCCACTGAGCTGGAAGGGGCCTCAGACTTCATCTAGTCAAGTCCCTTCATTTTACAGATGAAAAAACTGAGACCTAGAGACCTTATCCAAGGTCACAAAACTGGCTAACAAAGAGCAGGGCTAGGAACCCCAGATATTCTCCAGCACTTTCTAGAGAGCTGGTTAGGCTAAGCTAAACCAAGAGGTACTGCTAACTATGCTGAGGCTGTCAATAATGCCTTGTTCTGTGAATCTCTGTGTAAGATTTAGAGAAGCACTTAATTTAGAGAAGCATTCATTATTTGCATCAGAATCTGCCTTTTCTATCTTCATGGGGAATAATGGTGACATTCCCCAGGAGAAATGAGTATAAGTTGCAGGAAACGCAATACAACTTTATGGAATGCATGGCAACAGTAATTTGGGAAAGTTTAATAAGTGTGGAAGATAATGTAAACTTCAGGAAATGTAAATTCCTTTCATTTGAATAATGTATAGTGTTTAAAATCTTCCTTTAGCTCTCTTAAGTTAAATAAACTGAGGTCCTTTGACCTTTCCTCATTTTAAACCTTTAACGATTTTAGTTACTATCCTCTGGCCTCCCTCCAAACTCTCCATATCGCTCTTCAGTGGCAGGTCCTAAACTTAGCTACACTGAGTTCCTGCCAGTAACATGTGCATCTTAGGAGCTCAAGCAGTTGTTGATAAGGCTGGCTTTAGAATCTGGGAAATGATTCGAAGGGGTTAGTCTTACAGGGGCCAACACCTTTGCAACTATCCTTGCAAACAGGGACAAAAATTTTACCCTGCACTGAAAAAGGAATTAGCTTCTCACTCTCATCTTAGGAAAGAAACAATCTAGAACCTAGAAACATAGCTTAAATAAACATTGTTTACAACTTATTATGCCCATGTACCCTTCCTACTTAGGCTACCTAAAGCTTCTTGATATTATCTGTCCCTGATCTGAAAATTATTCCCTTATTTGTGCATGCACATGTATATGTGTGTGTGTGTTTGTTTTAAGGGGCAGGAAAGAGAAAGAGATTCATATTAATATAGTCCATAAGGGCTTTTGTGGGAGTTCCCTTTATCCAAATATAATAGAAAGAGTGGAGTCATTAGAGCAGAGCAGTGGATAAAAGAATCATTATTTGCCCTTTTGATCGAGTCTTTGGGATTTTCCAAATATATCATAATATTGTCTACAAAAGGAGATGGTTTTATTACTTCATTCCCTATTCTGATTCCTTCTGTTTCTTTTTATTTTCTTATTGCTATTGCTAGGATTTCTAATACAGTATTGAATAATATTAGTGACAGTGAGTATCTTTGTTTCATACCTGATTTATTTTTAGGCATAAAAAACACATCTAGAGCTAGAGAAAGGTGCTTTTATATATAGCCTTTGATTTGGGTTTATGTAGTTCATGGTTTCATGGTTTCAAACAGTCTGAATAGTCCAGTTCCTAAAAGAAGGTGGTGGGAAAAGGTCTAAGGAGCACAAAAGTTAAGTACGCAAAGGAATAACTAGGAGAGACTGGGTGTGCATTGGAAAGAAGAATTCTGAAGATAGGTTGCATGTGGAGATTTAGATTTGTGAATCACTTGCATGGAGATGATTCTAGCATCACAGACTGAGAGCTAGAAGGGATTGTAGAGTTCATTTAGTCCAACTCCATTTATTTTATAGATAAGGACACTGAAGCCCAGAGAGGGTAAGTGTTTTTCCCCAAGGTCATACAGGTTATAGGTGGTAGACCATGAGATTCAAACTCACATCTCACTCCAAACAGAAGTTATAGATCTCAATGAGATTAGAAAGGGAGTGTAGAGGAAGAAGAGTAAAGGAAGCCAAGGATAGATATTTGGGGTTAGAGCACAGGATGTGAAACCTCCATAGTTGGTGACAAAGGGCCTATTTATTCCAGGGAGAGGTGTGTAGAGTCTCAAGTTGATTTTTCTAGGCGGGGAATCCTAGCTTCATTCCCTACCCCTTCGTCGGAATTTAGAATCTAGCCCCTCTCATGATGGCAACCTAGGCAAGTCACATGATAATAAATTAATAGTAAACCAAAGGCTAAGCTACAAAGTAGTAGTAGATAAAAGAGTCATTATCTGTCTATCCTTGTTTGCCCACACATAGCAAGACCCATCAGACTAAGCCAGAGGGTAGCTAGTCAACACGTGGCACAGACACAAGGAGGGAAGAAGGATAGATTTCAGGAAGTGGAAGTTATCAGCCAAACCATAGCTAGTTCAGGGGAAACAGTGCCTCAGGGCACTGACATAGGGAAGGGGGTACTCTCCTTCCCCCCCACTTTGAATTCCATCTCTGTTTCTCACCTTGTAGCTATATGCCTTCCACCTCAAAGGTCAAATCACTATGGTACCCATTGTGTGATGCTCCACAGTTACATAGGCCACCCTCTTCCTGAAGGGATTATCCCATCACCACTACCACCACCCTGCCCTTGGTTTTCCCTTTCCCCTTCGCCTCCTTCCCCTTCCACACTCCTCAAACCCTGCCCCCCAGTAAATCTGCCACAGAGGCATTTAGGGCTCTGGTTATTAGGTAAACTTATTTCTAGTACTGAACATAAACATCACATAGATTTCTTTATCAATTAACCAAAAGTTATTTAAGCACCTATGTATCCAGCACCTAAAAGAAGCCATTTACCAAGCAGAAGCGGAGTTTCTCCTTTGAGGTTTTTGGTGTCTGGACACACTCCCTTTTCCAGCAGAGTTCTTACATTTTCCACCAGACCAGAATCAATTGCTAGGGTTAATGGTGTTTCTCCATCACAAGTATTGTATTCCCAAAGAGTTTTGTAGGATGCTGAGACAGGAAAAACATTGTGTGGAATCATGAAAATATCAACAAGCATAATACATACAATGGTCACAAATTCCAACATTTTATCACATTTATACAATGCTTTAAATTGATTTCAGTATTTACTTGCAAGTTTATTAGCATGAACCTGTTGTTGAAGGTAGTGATAAGGTTACAATTTTCTGGTTTTCTAATTCAGCAACATTTTCTCCAAATCAGAAACTTTCTGAACAAATATGCTTAGAAAAATGCTGCAGAAATATGAACAAGGTCTAAAAAAACATCAAGTGTATGAATAGCAAACACAGATTCATTCACTGAATGAATAATCAATTTTACTGAGCACCTACTGCAGAGTACTACATATTAAATCCCAGAAATCTAGAACCAAGAAATGCCTTTCAAACTTAAAAGATTTAAATTTGGATGGCGCAGCTAGGTGGTACAGTGGATAGAGCACTGGCCCTGAAGTCAGGAGGACCTGAGTTCAACTCCAGCCTCAGACCAAACACTTGACACTTACTAGCTGTGTGACCCTGGGCAAGTCACTTAATCCCAATTGCCTAAAAAAAATAAATTTGGGATTAAAAAAAGGAAATCCTATATTAACAATGAATTTATTTGTGGATATCATTATCACAAGATGCAATATGGTTTGCAAAAAAAAATTCAAATTAATTAATGATGATGTCCTTTATGGGTTGGCATGACCAAAGAATTCGTCCCCAAGCCATCTACTGATGATTACTCTTCCTGTACTTAACTAGGCTGGTCCTTAAACAGTAGGCACAGACTGTTGCTGGCATCTTGAAGCCTTTTGAGCATAGTAGAATCTGCCAGAGTTCACTTATTTTTCCACAGGAATTAGGCAGGATAAGCAATGTAAAGAATGCCATTAAAGAAATGTATAATGTAAATAAAAAGATGGACCTGTCACATAGCAAGAGTTAGGAATAACCGAAAACCAACTCATGCCTTCCACTAGTATCTTTATAATGTCAAAATAACTCCAAGAAGGACCCTAGCATGTCGGTGGACCCTTTGTAGTGAACTTAGAGGAGAACGTGGACAATAGCTGCACAGACAGTACAGGCATGGATGGATTGTTGCAGGAAATACCTGCGTTGAAGAGATCATTGATTCACGGGAGTACTGAATACTGTATATCCATGATGGTTTATTGAGGAGTGGGATATATTCCTGTCCCTTTAAAGGACAGCTAAAGTCTCTCATAACACTCTTGGTGCCACTCTCAGAGACAATGCTGGAATGGATAGACACACCATGGATCTGTCCAAATGGCAATTCTTAGGTAGGTCCTTATGTTAGATTGTGACTTGAACAGCTCCTCCAAGAATTGCTTTTCTCAGATCCTATAGGCCACCACTCTGCTTTTCTTTGTGGTTTATTTTGAATCAGGATGGTAGCCATAACTTTTTTTATTCTTGTTTTGAGATAACTGAAGATATTTGGGTTCACTTACCATCCAGAACAATTTCAAGTATTTGTTGAACAGGTTGAACTGCCGCCTCATGCAGTGGGAACCATCCATTATCATCAGCTTCATCCAAAGCATATTTATATTTCACATAGTCCTGGAGCTCAAGGATTTGGCCTAAGTTAAACATATGAACTGATTGTAAATTTCCATTCTTAGCATTGCAAATCTTCCTTTCTAGTATTCTATGAACAATGTGCATAGATACCTTTTTTAATGGCTTCTACAAGTTTTCTGTTCTGAGCACTTAGAGGCACAAACCTAGCAAGGAAAGAAAATAGCTATGTTATTATACCACTTCAAGGCATTTAATGATTTAATTTTCCGTTGATTTCCACCCACATGCATTTATTCAAACCTTACAGGAAATGCATGAATATGAGGCTAACATACTTTTTGTTCTTCAAATCTGTAGAAAATAGATTTTAGAGTAGATTTATGATATTGGACCATTAGTGGGAATGACATGGTATAGAAGGCATACTTTATCTTTGAAACCAGTTCTAAGTAATACAAAATAAAACAGAATTGAAAGTTGTTGTATGAAAGTCAATTAATTCCATTATTCATGTTAACTACATGCCCCGAATGCTTAGCTCAAAATCTACTAACAAATGAAAACATAGGTAGTTATCTTTGCTTATTGATCACTATAGATTGTTATTTAGTTTAAAATTTTGGCTTTTTATCCTAAATAATCAAGATAAATTGTCAATTATACATTTACCTTTGAGCTATGCAGATCTGATTTAAATGGGAGCACAGAGTTCACTTTGCAAAATATTTTCAACTGATACAAAAATAAAAGTAGAGAGCATTTCCTGAAGATACTCCCAGTCTCTATCAATTTGTTGTTGTTGTTCCATTGTTTCAGTCATGTCTGACTCTTCATGACTCCATTTGGGGTTTTCTTGGCAAAGATACAGGAATTCTTTGCCATTTCCTTCTCCAGCTCATTTTACAGATGAGGAAACGGAGGCAAACAGGGTTAAGTGACTTGCCCAGGGTCACACAGCTAATAAGTGTCTGAGGCCAGGAACTCATGAAGATAAGCCTCCTTACTCCAGGCCTCCACACTTTATCCATTGTGCCACCTAGCTTCCCCAGTGTCTATCAATAGCTTTTGCCAAAATGTCATAATATGTGCTTTCTTCACCCTTTCCGTTTCTTCTTTTTCAATGGAAATAACACATTTTATAAAAGTTTCATTAACTCTATTGAGAAGAAATATCTTTTAGGAGCAAGGCTCATGAATGTCTTTTTCTGAAACAACAAATCAGAAAGGGGAAAATATATTTCCAAATATGCCTAAATTGTTCGATGCAGTAATTTTACAGCTTGGCTAATGAAATAATGTAATGAAATAATGAATGTACTTTGTAAAGCTTATAGGACCATATAAATGTCAGCTGTTGTTACAGGGGAGTCATTATGATAGAATGAAAAACATATTACACTGGGGTCAGGAGAAACTTGGGTTTGAATCTCATCTCTCACACTCATTAGCTATGTCATATAATTTGCCTGGGCTTCAGTTCCTCATCTGTAAAATGGGGATAATAAAAACTATAGCATTAACCTTTCTGGGATGCTGGAAGAACAAAATAAGATAAAGTACTTAGTATACCTTAAGACACTACATAAATATTAGGCAGCATTACTATCTCAAGTGTACAAAATAGTGCCTCTATAAGTCTTCTAAATCAAAAGATTCTAAATGTCGTAATAGATTTTGTCATATAGCAGAATATTTTGTAACGAGCAAGAGTGGAAATAGCTTAAACTATTTCAAATATGACATCAATTTGGTATATTTTTATTTAATTCTATCACTTAAACAACAATTAATGATAAGTACTGTAATTTATATGGTATTTTATATTTTGAGAAAGGTTAATAACTAATCTACTCATTTAACCAATAAGTTAGAATTATTCTGTGAATCTTACAATTTTATAGATGGGGAAACCATACCAAGCAGCTGACAAGTACATGGATTGTGCAGGGTTACATTAATCAATGGCAGAATGGACATGAGACTACAAAGTCATCTTCAGTGCTATCTAGGAATTGGTCACCTAAGTAATATGAGTATGTTTTTTCTTACTTGACTCCATATCTTGTTAACTTCATGTGATTTTAGAAAGAACAAATAGCATTGCATATTTGGGCAGTTCAACCAGAAAATTCTCATACATTTATTGGATTTGTGGATTTAATGAGTTTAGGAAAATTTTCAAAGAATTGAATTTGTTAGGATTTTAAAAATATCTAGCCCCTTATATTTTTTGGACTTGAGCAATGTAAGAATTTGTTTTGCTTAACTATGTTTATTTGTTAAAGAGGTTTTATTTTTCTTTTCTTTTTTCTTATTTCTAATTGGGGAAGAGGTATGTATGAAAGGGAGAAAAAAATAGATTTTTGTTCATTGAAAAATAATAAATATAATTTAAAAATATGCCATCGTCCCTCCCATTCTCTATCAGGGCATGAGTGAACATATCTAACAACTGTATTGGAAGGGCTTTCATAGATGAGGGATAAGGGAAGTTCTTCAATTTTATTTTTTTAATTATCAAAATTATATCTTATGTATTTAATTCCTGTGACTCTTACCTTTCAGGATAAAGCTCTTTCTTGTTGGCTTCAATGGATTCTTGAATGCTAACCTGAATTTCATAATCTGTGAGATGGTCCTCATCATAGACACCATTTTCCTCCATGCTTTGGTGTAATGTTAAAAGAAGCAATTTTGTAAAAGTCAGTACTTGGCCCAGGGCATCATTTGTAATTAATATGATAGCTCAAATGAAAGACATGAAATAACTAGCTTAAAAAAAAATCCAACCCTTCCCAAAAGACAAAAAATTTTTACATGTTTGCCATTTCCTTCTCCAGCTCATTTTACAGATGAGGAAACTTTCGCAAACAGGGTTAAGTGACTTGCCCAAAGTCATACAGTTAGTAAGTGTTTGAGGACAGATTTGACCTCAGGTCTTCCTGACTTCAGGCCTGGCACTCTATCTGCTGTGCCGCCTAGCTGCCTTATTAATATGAACATGCTGGAATATTATTGTGCTACTTGAAATGATGAATATGATGAATTCAGAGAAATTGTAGGAATTGATACACAAAAAAGTGAGCCGAACTAGACAAACAGTATGTATCAATCAATCCACAAATATTTACTGAGCACCTACCGAGCTACTTAGCCAACAGTTAGATGCTGGGGTTAAAAGTACTAAGAATGAAATAATCCCTAATTGCCAGGAACTTACATGACTGCAAAAATGTTCAAAAAAAAAAAAAAGAAAAAGACACTACAGGGCAGCTAAATTCAGATGATTTGTAATGATCATGACCAATCTTGGTCCTGGAGAACAGATGATGGCGGAGAATGCTCTCTTCTTTCATTAAAGTTGTGGGGAACTACAGGTATGCATTTGTTGTACACTTTCAGATGTGAATATTTTGTCAATCAGTTTTAACTATTTTTCTTTGTTACTAGAGTAAGTTTAGTGGATGTAGGAACGGATAAGGAAATGGCATAAGATGTCATTAATAAAGCTTTAAAAAATATACTAATGGGTACATGAAGAATGGAGTCAGCTAGATGTCTCACTGGATAGAACTCTCTGGGCCTTGGAGTCAAGAAGACCTGAGTTTAGATCTGGCCTCAGACACTTCCTAGCTGTGTGACCTTGGGCAAGTCACTTAACCTCTGTTTGCCTTGGAGGCAACTAGGTGGTTCAGTGAATAAAGCACTGGGCATGGAGTCAGGAAGACCTGAGTTCGGATGTGGCCTCAGACACTTCCTTCCTGTGGGACCTTCGGCAACTCACTTAACCTCTGTTTGCCTTAGTGCACTGGAGAAGGAAATGGTCAACCACTCTTATATCTTTGCTAGGAAAACCCCGTGGACCGTACTGGCATACTGTTGTCCACAGGGTCATGAAAAATTGGACACAGTTGAGCAAATTAATGATAACAACATGAAGGACAGTTCTAAGTAACAAGACATAGTCATGGGAAATAGCAGCTGATGGACTAATTTAGCATTTAGCAAAGCAGAATTGGTGTAGCTGTGTTTGAGAGAAGCTGTCATGAAAAAAGAGGTAGGGACTCTCACCCACTATTGCCACTTATCAGAAGGTAGCATAAAATTTCAGTGGGACCACACATTATCTTTTTAGTCACACCCAGTCCTACATCCAGATGGGGCAATATTGGGTTCTGAAGTACAATTCAATGATACTATTTTATAGACATTCTACTAGGAAGCATTGCTACCACTGCCCTAAATTAGCTTTTACCTGTACAGGGGGATCTTTCTGCCTTAGATGGTGCTAATTATATTCAGTCAAGCAAGCATTTATTCAGCATCTATCATATGCCAAGCACTATTCTAGGCACTAGAAAATATATTCTCAAACATAACTCAACCTCTGGTTTGTTTTTAGGCCACGTCATTTTACCCCAAGGTGGACTCTCTACTCTAACCATATGTGTTTACCACCCCCAACTCATGGTTTTCTCATTCACACTTCCATCCTTTTTCACATTAGTTTTTCTTACCCACAATGCCCTCCACATATGAATTACCATCATTCACTTCCAAACCTTTCTTAACAAATACATCCATCCCATTGGCTATACAACTTGTGGTACATGAATGCAATGGAATATTACTGTACAATAAGAAATTATAACTGAGAAAATAAAGAAGCATGGGAGGACTTCTATCACCTGATATAGAGTAAATAGAATCAGAAAAACAACACAATTATTACAGCTCTATAAATGGAAAAAGCAACAACAAATTTCACACCAAATGCTGTATAATTATAATGACCAAACTTGGCCCTGGAGATGAGATAAGACAACATATCTCCTTTTTTTTTTTTTTGCAGAGGCAAGAGATTATGGATATATTGCACATACTGCCAGATCTGATTGCTGTGTTGGCTAATTTTAACTAAACTAACTGCTTCCCCAGCCCCTCCCCCACCTCCGCCTGTCTCTTTTTATGCTTTGTTAGCAGGAGTAGTTCTCAGGGTAGGAAAGGGGAGTAAAATATATTTGGAAATGAAGGTAACATAAAAACAAAAGATATCAATAAAAATTATTCAAAACAAAACAAAACCTATCTCCCCTTTGAAATCTTCCCTGATTTTCCCTGCTGCTCCCTGATTGCTCTTTTACTGTGAGTCCCCTCTACCTTTATATCCTATGCTGTTTCCACTGTATTTTCACTTGCACTCATTTAGTGAGGTGTATGTTTTGTAACCCTCACTACCCTTCCTCCTCCAAGATTAGTTCCTGGAAGACTAGGCCCCTGTAGTCTTTCTTTTATATCACTTTATCTTACTACTGCCCTCATTCCCAAAGCACCTAGCAAATGGCTATTCATGAGGAAAATATGGACCCACTGACTGACAAGCACCAGTGTTTTCAGGTGGCACAATTAGCTGATGAACATAAACCTGTGGCATTGCATGCTGTCATTACAATACTGCTGTGGTGATAGGGGGATTGGATGGCCCATGGGATTAGTAATGGGATACAGAGCCTTTCACCTATTTAAATCACAGGTTTAAATCTAGTCCTGAGTAGACTTCAGGCTCTCACTGGATGAGATTTCTGAGGATGGAATCTCACTGGGAGAATAGGGTTGGACTGTAGGAAACCTCAAAAATGTTGTTTATACTAATGCCTAGAGTGTAGTTTGTATGTCCAAATTGGAAGATAACACGAGGTAACACTGATTTCTTAACTTAAATGAACCCCACACCCTCTACAGCCTACCTTACCATTTTCTGGAGAGATCCTGAATTTGACAGGAAGCCACGTGCATAGTGTATGAGACTTAACCAGCCACAATACATATGGTAGGCACACATTTGTACACAACAGGATGAAAGGAATGATGAGATGAAATAATGACAAAATTATTAAGTCCATATCCCACGTGGGGACAGTCAATTGAGTTGACTTAAGTCTTGCCCTTGCCCTAGAATGGACCAAACCACTTCTTGAAGTTCTTCCAGTCCTTTGAGTGTAAGATACCTGTGATAGCACTGGTATCTACCAGGGTTTCCCCCTGTCTCTATATGGGTTAGGAAGATGTAACAAAACCATAACTTGATTGGCCCAGGGGTGGAGGAGGGTCCAAGTTGTGCCTCTCTTGACATAGCTTCCTGGTGGCCTCTGGTTGTGTTAATATGACTTCCTGGTCACCTACGGGGCATAAAAGATCCTGCTCCCATGGGGTAGGGGCCCTTTAGCCTGATGTCTGACGACCACAGTAGTCACCACACTGAACACTCTGCTGAACAGATGTTTCATAGGAAGACAAGGGAAGTCTCAGCTACAGATGCTAAGTGCTACTATTCCTTTGTTCCAAATCCTTGCTATGTCAGGACAAAGTATACCTCCTTTTGTTAACTTACAAGTGCCTCATTTTGATCCACCATGGAACCTGATTATTGGGGTCCCAGTGTCAAACTCATTCCTAATAGTCCTTAAACTACTTGGATAGTAAACTCATTCATACAAAAGGAATGAATTCATCCAGGCTCCAAGTCGTAATTTAGGATTTTGTGGTGTTGTAGATCAGTGGTGTCAAAGTCAAACAGAAATAGAGATACATACATAAGGATCTTTGCAGGCCACATATTGACTTAGAAAACTATGTATTTATATTTCTTTTTTAAAATTAATACATCAACACATTAAAATCTGATAGGGACTACATTTTAATCTGGCTTGGATTGCATTTGGGAGTGCATATGGCCCATGTATATGACACCTTCACATGAGAGAGATGATTTCTATTTTTTGGTTAATGGATTTTATGATGAGTTGGCTCACCATAAAATTGGAATAATCATCTTTGGTCCTTAGTAGTTTTGAGACACAAAGGGACATAATAGATGGAAGTAGGAGTGAGGAAAACCTAGATTTGATCCCACCCTTAACACTTGCTAGCTATGTGACTTGTACCCATCAGCCTTATTTTCTTCATCTGTAAAATGGGGACAGTAATAATAATAAGAATTATATGGGCAGCTAGGTGGCTCAGTGGATAGAGTGCCAGGCCTAGAGTAAGGAAGACTCATTTTCTTGAGTTCAAATCTGGCCTCAGACACTTACTATGTGTGTGACCCTGGGCAAGTCACTTAACCCCTGTTTGCCTCAGTTTCCTCATCTGTAAAATGAGCTGGAGAAGGAAATGGCAAACCACTCCAGTATCTGTGCCAAGAAAACCCCAAATGGCGTCATGGAGAGTGAGACACAACTGAAACAAGTGAACAAGAAAAAGTAATAGCAGTAACAATAACTGTATTGCCTACCTCACAGCTGTCACTGATGCTCCAGTGATATGATACACATTCAAAAGCTTTAAAGCACTATTTAAATCCCAATTATTATTTTCATCCAAGGAGTTCTAAGTACTAGATGTTATTATTCAGTAGCAATATTTATTCTTTTATCCCATTTTACCAAGAAGATAACTAAGACTCGGACTTGACATATTTAAAAAAAGAAAAGTCAATGGCAGGGAATGAGAATCTTTTTGCTAAAGATGGATTTTTGCATTTATATAAGAACTAGATAGCTCAGATAGTGAAGATTTTCATACAAAACTAACAAGCTCATCCAGGGCTCTGGGTTGTAATTTAGCATCCAGTGGTGTTCTTTGGAGTGTGTATGAAGCAAAGAACACCTTTATTTTTAAATTCTAATCCAAAAGTCTCAGGAAAACACCCTACAGTCTGTTACCTTTAAAGGAAAACACACATGGCTCTTGCTTTTAACAGCCAGCTCTTGTCAGCAATAACTTCCAAAAATAAAAAATATCTTCCAGGGACACATAAATCTTCTCTTTTGGCCCTGTGTAATAGGCTTTGTGTTGCTTACGGTGTTCCGGGGTGTCCTAGGGTAGCCTTCAAACCCTGCCTTTTGTGTCTCAGAGCAAAGCCTCAGCATAACTATCCAAAACAAGGATCTGCATTCCAGCTAGTGCCTGACTGAAGTGGTCAGGCGGAGGTAGACTGTGTTCCAAGGCATTATGTATGAGTGATGAAGAGTACATAACATTTCTGTTCATCAGACTCCCTAAGTGGCTTTAAACCTGTCTTAATATCTCCTTGCTACTGAGGAAGGTGAAAAAGCTATAAAACTCTTCACAGTAAAATGTTTTAAACGTGTCACCTCTTACAGGGCAAGACCCATATCTTTCCTGATTAAATCTGTATAGTAGCTTTTATATCCCTATTCACTTAAATTGGTTAGCTACTTTTTAAAATTTTGAGTGTGTCTAAACTGGTTTACTATTTACCCCTTTCTGTCAAGAGTATCAAAGCTGAAACAGTCTTGGGGAAGGCTGGTCTTAAGAAATGGTAGTTAGCTTCCTGTGTGGTAGAAAGCACGAGCCCTAAAGTCTCTCTCTTCATCCCTACCTGTCAAGTGGATGAAATTCCACCAGTAATAAGCCTTTCCTTTGGGCCTTGAAGGCTTTTCCAATCATTAAGAGTCTCAATTAAAATGCAAATTGTCTTAGGAAGTGTGAAATCTTACTAATTGATAGCTAGTGCCCAATAAGGCCATGATGGAATACACGTGTAGGAATGGGAATAATTGATTTTAACTTGGGGAGATGAAGCATAAAATGAATGACAACAAATGTCCCAATTTTTCACAAAACTGAATCTGTTCCTGAATCTCTGAATAACAGTGCAGACATGAGATGTCTACAGCGGACTAGCCAGGTTAAATTCTGATGTGACCCCCTTGGGATGAATAATTTTTTTTTGAGGCAGTTAAGGTTGAGTGACTTGCCCAGGGTCACACAGCTAGTAAGTGTCAAATGTGTGGTCTGAGACCACATGTGAATTCAGGTCCTCCTGACTCCAAGGCTGGTGCTCTATCCACTAAACCACCTAGCTGCCCCAGGATGAACAGTTTTTACCTTCAAGCTGAAGTGGCCTTTGATTTGGTCAGGTTTCTGGAAGTCAGGATGACCCTGAAGGATAAAGATCAAAAGGATTAATTATAAGTATTAATAATTTTTGTTTCCATTCTTAAAACAATTATAATATTAGAATAAAGTTTATATATATATATATATACATATAAATTTATATATATTTTTTCCATTTATGTGTTAGCTTTTTAAAAAATCTGGGCCTTTGATTTCATCCAGGTACAAAATACTTAAAGAGGAGTATTCTATCAATGCAGATCAGTGACTTGTTCATAAGTTGTCTAGAGAGTTTTCTGGGTGCACTGAGAGGTTTAGTAATTTGATTGTGGTCTCACAGGTAGAATGTCTGAAAGGCAGGACTCAAGACCAGGTCTTCTTGACTCCATGGCAGCTAGGTGATAAGTGTTTAGATTGCTAGACTCATGGTCAGTAAGACCTGAATTCCAATGTTGCCCTAGATACCGTCATACAATTTCAATAACATTTTCCCTTCTAGGACTGTCTAGTTCCTCCAATAAGAAAACAACATCATTGAACTGATCTGTTCCTTCCTAAAAAGTAGCAGCACCTTTGGCAGAGATTCAGAGGGAGAAAATACTGTACTTTTAAGGCTAAGGCCAAAAAAAAAAAAGGGGGGGGGATAGGACAAGCCATTCTTTAATATCTTTTGAGAAATGTCCTGAACACTCACTCACGTAGTCCTATAAAAGAACAGATCAACAGTGGTGCTCTCCAGGTCATTTATGTGGCTTCTACAAAATTAGTTTTCATTTCTTGTACTGCAATCTTGCCTAAATCTTAAGTGAATAAAGAACTAACCAGGTATATACTCTCATATTGGGTTGGGTTAATCCTAACTAATACTTTCAGGCAGTGGAATTTCATGTACTCTTTTTGATGCCGAAGCCAGATGGGATTATGGGAGAAAAATAAGATGACTTCTGGGTGTACAGAACCAGAAGAAGCCTTATCCTCACATGCACTCTGATTCCCTGAGGGAGTCTAGACAGGCTAAGAGGGAAGGGCAGACAGAGGAGGGCAAATTAGAACACACAGGGCAGCACCCACTTTAAGAAAACTCTTATACCTAAAAATCCTGAACTTATAGTGTAGAACAGTTATTCACTTTATGAAAAGATGTCCTAAAAGATTTGCTTAGTGAGTATATTAAAAAAAACATGATTTGATTGACAAGTATTAATTTACATAGCTAGAACTTGTCAGGAGTGCAAAGATAGCATATAGCCAGGCGCACCTGTCCTAGTACTAAGGAAAAGAAGCTATAAACCCTTTTTTTGGTCCATTCTTGGCCAAGTGCCTAGATGTTCATAATTTGGCTACAAGGACGTTGGTAGTAGGGGCAAAAGAACATGTTTCTGCTCTGTGGTTCTGTACTATCTTTCTTTGCTCCTGAAAAGCTGTGTATGTTACAAATATCCTAGGAGAACTGGATATTTACAGAAATCATATCGTAAATCTCTTCCTAAAGAAAATATTTAATTTCTCGTCCATCTTTGGTGAAAAGTTTCATTTATCAGGTTTGCATAAAGTGGTCCGCAGGTACTTCCAACCCTGCTGCTTAAGTAATCCAGAATCACTAAGGAAGGACTCCTGATCTGGAATCATGAACCCTTCCCAAGAATTTCTTGCTATTAGTTCTCTGACCCCAAAGTCTTAAGAAAGGTTTGTTATCCTCAATTGCTGTGACAGAATGTAGTTGGAATGGTGAGTTCCAGATTAATGAAGGCTTATTTCATATCATATAAACGAATGAACATTAGAAATGGCACTTAATATAATGGTAATATAGTCTAAAGAATAATATGACTTTTCAAATACTACAGTGGAAAAAGAAAGATTTTAAACAAATTCCCATTTAAAATATAAATAATCATTATTTCTGAAAATTCAACTGAAATATTAAAGAAGTTGAATATTCAGTGATCTGTATCTACTCTCTTCTGCAAAGGACTCAGGAAATATAGCTCTAGAAATTTAGGCTGTAGGAAATAAGGACTTGGGAAATATGGCTTAGGAAAAACATTCACCTAACACTAGCTTGCTAGAGAGGCAGCCGGGTAGTAAGGTGGAATAAGCCCTGCATTTAAGTGTCAGGAAGATCTGAGTTCAAATCCTGCTTCAGAGTACTTACCCTGGATAAATCATTTAACCAGCTCAGCCTCAGTTTCCTCATCTATAAAATAGGAATGATAATAGTACCTACTATTATTGTCGTGAGGATCAAGTGAGATGCATAAGTAAAGTACTTTGCAATCCTTAAAGCACTGTATAAAGGCTAGCTATTATTTTTAATGTATAAAAGAATTTGCAAATGGAATATGAAACTTCTATTTGATTTGAAACTTGATAGCAAATCATTCCAACTGGATTAAAAAGTCCTATGTAAAAGAAAATTTATGGTAAGGTTTATCTATATCATTTATCTAACATTAATTTCTCCCTCAAGATCCAGGATCGGCTATAGAGTTCAATAGCACACACTCTGAAATTTCTAACACTGATTAAAAACTTTGTCCTTCACATCTATATCCATATCTATATCTATATCCATATCTATATATCTATTTATATACACACACATACACACATATATGTTGTATACACAGTATGCATGTATGTAGATATATATATATATATATATATATATATATGTATATATATATATATTTGCCTCCAAATGCTGTTAATATTATCCAAAGTCTGAAATAATCACAAATCACTAGGAAGAAAAAAACCTCCTGATTAAAAATTGTATCTACCACAGATTGGTTACTCTTAAATATCTCTGGGACATGCTTAATTATATGAGGGAAAAATGCTCCTCTACGTTGGTGTTTTAAAAACAGACAAATCAGTTCTGGGATCATTCTATAACTGAACAGATCCTAGGCGTTCAAGCCTTAAGGTTGAGCCGCCCAGAGATTCAGGGAGAGCCACCTGAGTCTGTACATGATTTGTTAGAGTACATTTCCAATTCGAAACTACTTCCCCATTATGCTAGTGAACAAGGTGCAGATCAAGTATGTCATAGTCTCACCTTTTGGAATCATCATCTTGTCATTCGTATCCAGGGACCTGACTTCCTAACCAAAAGAAACAGTGCCCCATGAGCCAATGTGTCCCTTCATGTATCTAAATTTAAATATCCAGTTGGTAGTTAAATTAAGACCTGACCTTGCTCAACTGAAACATAAGCAGGGTCCAGCATAGAGGAAAGTATTACCCATGACTTCTCTAGAATCTCATCAAAAGGAACATGAGACTGCTGTGGTAGAAACAGATTATTTGTGCCCTGATTGGTTCAAACAGCTATCAGTAACAAAACAAATGAGCTGCCAGCTGAGCTGTGAGGGCTGTGCCAAACCAAAGGAACAAAATGCTGTCTAGCTTTGTATTATAGTGTGAAGGTACACAAAATGGCCAAGTGGGACTAATTTCTGATTCAGTGCTTATCTTAATGACACAAAACTCAATCTCATCTTTATCATATTATGTCACAAAACTGACTCTTCAACATTTTTAAAAAGTCATGTTGAGTCTTAATGTAATACCAGGCTTGTTATTTTCTGAATTCAATGAAAGTTGGTGGCTCAGTTTTGTCTAGTGAGCATTTAACAACTTCCAATCTGACTAGGTAGAGCCAGGCATTATGTAATGGTCAGTAATAGCTTGTCTGTTCAAGAATCCCCAGGTAAATGAATTGACATAAATTCCAGGAAAGTAGGCTGTAGACATAAAATGAGAAAGGAATAGATACTAAAACAATAAAAGCCTACTACCACAATAATTAGGAAAATTCAGTTGAGGATCAGTATCAGATCAGAGACTTCTTAATCCAGTTATCCAGCTAGACTGCCTCAGGAAATTATGAATTTTATATCTGTGTATCTGTATACATTTTGTATATGTGGGGATAGGGGAATAGAGTTAGGTTAGTCAAAGTAAAATTCTTGAGGGCTGGGACTGTTTTGATTTTGTCATTGTATTGCCAAGCATTGCAGAATGCCTCGCACATGGCAGAGGCTTAATAAATATTTGCAGAATTAAATTGACTTTCTCAATTTAAGTCCAATGTTTCTATTTATTACAAATGAAAAAGCAAAGTGCTCAAGTCCTAAGTATTTCCATACTCTTCTGAGAGTTAGAACTCTGGCAGAAAATTCCTATGAGGATAATGTTACTTGCTGAGACTTCCTGTGGGTGGGGGTACTGCATAAAAATAGTAATAGTAGTAATTTTGTTGTTATTGTTCATTTGTTTCAGTTGTATCTGACTTCATGACCCCATCTGGGGTTTTCTTGACTGAGATATTGGAGTGGTTTGCCATTTCCTTCTCCAGCTCATATTACACATGAGGAAACTGAAGCAAACACGGTTAAGTGACTTGCCCAGGGTTACATAACTAGTAAGTGTCTGAGGCCAGATTTGAACTCACAAAGATGAATTTTCCTGACTCCAGGCCTGGCACTGTATCCATTGTACCACCTATCTGCTCTAATAGAAGTAATAGCTAGAATTTATCTAGTGCTTTAACATTTTCAAAGTGTTTTACTAATATTATATCACAGATCAGACATGAATAGAGATGGAATTTGGATTATTTTGTTCTTACCCTAACTTTGGAAAAGTAGGCCTAAGCCTAAAAACAGTGGGAACTAGGACAATAACATGTTTAAATTATGAGTGCATGAAAAAATTGACAAAGAGTCTCTCTTTAAGCTCATGGCTCCCAGAAAAATCTTTCCCAGCTGTGGCTAAATGGCCTCACTTTATAGGCCTCCAAGTTTTGTAGGGTCTTCTTGGGCAGTGACTGCCCCTGTGACTCTTCAGTAATCATTTGGTTTTTTTAAAGCAGCTATGTAATAGCAAAAGTACTAAACTTGGAGACAGGAAAACCCTTGATTCTAATTCCACCTTCAACACTTACTAGCTCTATGATCATCCATCCATCCATCTATCTATCTATCTATCTATCTATCTATCTATCTATCTATCTATCTGTCTGTCTGTCTGTCTGT